ACACCCCATCTTCCCATCTGCCTGTCACGACGACAATAGGCCTCAGGCAGGCTTTAGCTCACGTGTCTTCCCAGAGCTCAGGGGCTCACGCTTCATCCTGGGGCCCCACTCGACGAGAATGGTCCACGTGCACAGGGCTGCGTGCACAACGTCTGCGTGAAGTGCCACGATGTCATCTGGCCTGTGTGCAAATTCACCATCTTTGTTTCCTCTCTAGATGCACAACTAGTAACGGACTGTGGACAGGAGAGACACACAGGGAGTACTGGCGGGCACGCGGGCAGAGCCTCGCCTCTCAGCCAGTCCAACTCAGCACAACCAGGCAGCTGGCCCCACGCACCTCCCAGTGTGGCCCTTGGAAGCTCTTTCAAGGCGAGATACATCTGGGCCCGCTGGGGTCTCTGGCTGAAAGGCACCCTCTCCACTGTGAGCCCTCTGCATGAACGACTCAGGCTGCCGGCCTGGGATGCGGCCCTGGAACCTCTGCAGTCTGGCCCACAGCTGGTACAGGAGAACCGCTCACGGCAGCCAACCACCATCATTCTTGTTCTAATGTCATGAGGAAGCATCTACTTCTCATTTGGTCTCATTTCTTTCAAATCCAAGCAAAAACACTGTTACAGAATAGCTGACTTGGAGGCTGCAGATCTTTCCCCCTTTTGAAATCCAGTCATTGGAACAGCTTTCTCCAACAGGAGGTCATGTCGGCTCCTGGCCCCTCAGCCACTGGTCACACACATCACCATCTCAACAGCGGAGGAAGAAGACAGAAGTGAATTTCACAGCCTGTCCACACATAGCTCGTGAGTGGGGTAGGGGCAGAAGAGTGACTCAGGACCGGTCAGGACGGTCAGGGGCAGGCTGCGCCCACAACTACTAAGGAGCTGGCTCTGGCCTGGCCGATTCCATGAGTGAAAAGTAAGATCTGGACTTTGGCAAGCATCTTCAAAGCGACACCCCATTGCTCCGAACACACACGGGAGTGTATGGAGTTGGAATAAAAAGGGCGGGACCGACGTGTTCAGGGTCATCCTGCACTATGGTCTTGCACATCAGCAGCCCAAACTGACAAGTCACTGTGCTTTCTTTTCCAGTGTTTCTGTGAGCCTCTGCACCTACACATCAGGGACCCACCATCTGCCTCCCTCACACAGACAGGAAATAGCTTCCCCAGGGCCCTGAGGCGGCCTCAGCACCTGACCAACAGCAGTGAAGTCTTGTGCTACAAGTCACCAAGTTTCTCATTTAAAAAACTATCAGCTGGCCAAACAGGGTAAATATTTTTTCTTAGAGGGTGGGGCAGAGAGAGAGAATGTTAAACGGGACAACCTGAGATCATGACCTGAGCCAAAATCAAGAGGCGGTCGCTTGACTGACTGAGCCCCCCAGGCGCCCCAAGACAGGGTAAATACTTGAGACGACAGTGCTCAACATCTGACTGGGATCTGTAATTAAAATGCAAAGTATGCATTTAATAGTTTTAATGGGAAACCAATTTGGAAATAAAAGGCTTCACTGCAACTATATTTTTATATGTCAAGAAACAGAAAATGAAATTTTAAGAAGGTAACAAATGAAACAGCATCAACAAAATCTAACTACCTAAAAATAAATCAAACAAAAGGTGTACAAAACTCTACAGAGAACTACTGGGTATTTACCACAAAGATACAAATGTAGGGATCCGAAGGGGTACGTGCACCCCGATGTTTATAGCAGCAATGTCCACAATAGCCAAACTGTGGAAAGAGCCAAGATGTCCATCGACAGATGAATGGATGAAGAAGATGTGGTATATATACACAATGGAATATTATGCAGCCATCAAAAGGAATGAGATCTTGCCATTTGCAATGATGTTGGATGGAACTGGAGGGTGTTATGCTGAGTGAACTAAGGCAATTAGAGAGGGTGCCTGGGTGGCTCAGTTGGTTAAGTAACTGCCTTCGGCTCAGGACATGATCCTGGAGGCCTGGGATCAAGTCCCGCGTCGGGCTCCCTGCTCAGCAGGGAGTCTGCTTCTCCCTCTGACCCTCTTCCCTCTCGTGCTCTCTATCTCTCAAATAAATAAAATCTTTAAAAAAAAAAAAGAAAAGAAACTTAGAAGTTAATCAGAGAAAGACATGTATCATATGATCTCACTGACATGAGGAATTCTTAATCTCAGGAAACAAACTGAGGGTTGCTGGAGTGGTGGGGGGTGGGAGGGATGGGGTGGCTGGGTGATAATTGGGGAGGGTATGTGCTATGGTGAGCGCTGTGAATTGTGCAAGACTGGTGAATCACAGATCTGTACTTCTGAAACAAATAATGCAATATATGTTAAGAAAAAAAAAAGAAGAAGAAGTTAGCAGGAGGGGAAGAATGAAGGGGAGTAAGTTGGAGGGGGTGACGAACCATGTGAGACGATGGACTCTGAAAAACAAACTGAGGGTTCTAGAGGGGAGCGGGGTGCGGGGATGGGTTAGCCTGGTGATGGGTACTAAAGAGGGCACGTTCTGCGTGGAGCACTGGGTGTTATGCACAAACAATGAATCATGGAACACTACATCAAAAACTAATGATGTAATGTATGGTGATTAACATAACAATAAAAAATTAAAAAAAACTCTACAGAGAAAAATCGTAAAACACCATTGAAAAAATTAAATCATACCTGAAAAAACAGAAAGGGATACACAATATTCATCAAAGTTCTACGGACAGTGACTGCAATCCCAAACTCCCTACAGTAATGGAAAATTATTACCATGGAAACTGATGCACAGAGCACGCACACCCACTGTCCTCAGACACGGGACCGCACCCGCAGCGCCACAAAGGATGGATGGACCTTCCACGTGGTTATGGGCCCATGGATATCTACACGGGGAAGAAGGTGGAAACCGTCCCATCTTCACATGAAACACAAAACTTAGTTCCAGACATCTAGAGATGTGAGAAAGGTAGAACAAAAACTTCTAGAAGATAGAGTATCTTCATGACCCAGGGTATAGAAAGATTTCTTAAACCATAAAAAGAAAAAAATAACGGATGACATGAGAATTAACAATCGCTATTCATCAAGTCCCCACGAAGAGCACGAGGAGGCAGAGTGGGAGGAAGTAGCGCACCTGGGTGGCCTCGCACTCCCAGCAGGGCACAGGGAACCCCTACAAGGCGGACACTGAAAGACTAGCCGTCCAATAAAAAGACAAGTAAAAAGTACCCACAGGTAATTCTCAAACCAACAACGTCTGGACAGACAATAAACACACAGAAGACGTTCAATCTCACTAGTCATCAGGGAAATGAAAACTACGAACACAGTGGGACATCAACACATGCCCACTAGAATGTTACAACTGGAAAAAAACGGACAACCCAAGTGTGCGCAAGGTCCCGGAGGAACTTGAACTCCCAGCACTGGGAGGAATGAAAACGGGGGTGCTCTCTGTGGAAGACTGGAATGACGTGAAATGAACGTAGACATCGTGGGACCCAGCAACCCCAGTCCCTGGGCACCCACCCAAGAGAAACCGAATCTGTGCGCACACAGCACAGACACACCCACACCCATGTCCTAACAGCCAAGAACTGGGCGGAACCAAAGATCCCACACCCGCTGAAGGACGTGCCACACAATCACGGTTTATTTACACTGTGGACTGGTGCGCAGACATGGCCCAGGGCAGAGCGCTGCAATCAGCTTCACATGTGAGGAGCGCTGTGCCGCGGGGGCCAGACATAAGAATCTATTTCACATAAGTGCATTTTTTGTAAACTTCAAAATCCCAACAAAAATAATGTTGATTAGATAGGGGAGGACAGTGGTTATTTTTAGGGAGGGAAGGGCAGGGGAGGGAAGCTTCTGGAGTGCGGGTAAAGTTCTATTTCTTGCCCAAGTAATGGACTAGGAGTGTGTGCTCACTTTGTGAGGACTCGCTGGCCTGCAGACTTTTGTGCGTGTGCATGTTAACAAAAAATAAAACAGAAAATCAAAACAGTATAACAGAAATTAAGTATCATTCCTGTTGTCAAACAAAACCCAAGCACTGAGGAAAACCTTCAGAGGTGAAGCAGGAGATGAAGGGCTGGTAACAAGACACGTGGATGGAAGACCATTCCAGAGGAAAAGTAAATAGGTGTGGAACTGCATCTCCCGTCTTAGAGGAGGCGAGCTGAAGAGCCTTTCTGAAACTGCAGTGACTGCGTGAGTAGCTCATGACGACGGCCCTGCCAGGCTGCGGGAGTCCTCGCAAGTCCAGAGGAGGAAGGACCCCACGCGGCTCCAACCCAGCACAGCATGGATGGATGGAGCCAGAGCAAGCCGACGGTGGCGGGGGGAGGGGGGGTGCTCCCATCAGCTGCGTCTGCACTTGGCGACCCACGGGGCACAGCCCTTCCCCCCCCCGCCCCGCTGCTGGAGCCGGTCTTCTGCGAGGGCGACTGGGGAGACGGGAGAGGCAAGAGGGGTTTCACGCTCTGAATTTCTAAACCATGTGACCGTGTTAAATCTAGAGGCGCCTCCCCCCGCTGGGCTCTGGAAGACTGCGGCTACCCCTCCGGCGGGGCTTCCTCTCCCCTCAGGCTGGTGGGAAGGCTCCAGGGGCTTGCCATCTACCACCCGCCCCGGGCGTCGCTCCCTGGCCCTGAGGAGGTGCTGCCATGATCGCCGCCTACCCTGGCGGTGTGCGCTGTCCTCCAGACCAGTGCTCGTACTTTCTCTGGCTTCCGTCACGGGTGTCTCTCTGCCTTTGGGTTGCTCCGGTTTCAGTGGGATGCAAGCGGGTGTACGTCTTTTTGGTTCTGGCCTGGCTTGTTCCCTGGGCTCCAGGATCTGTGGTTTGGTGTCTGTCATTACCTGTAGGACGGCTCCAGCCGCTTGTCAGCTCCGTCCTCTCTGGCTGGCACGTTACACCTTTTGAGGCCGTCCCTCACTCTCGGAGGCTCTACTCAGGGCTTCCGTTCCCTTTTGCATTCTTTTTTCTTTTTGCTTCTCATTTGGGAAGTTCCTTTTGTCCTGTCTTCAGGCTGGTGGTGAGCAGCCCATCGTGGCTCTTCTTCCCGTGTCACAGGGATCCTTTTGGTCTTTTCGATAGTGTGTCCCCACCCGCACCACCCACACCAGCTCCCGCACAACGTCTGCTTTTCCTACAGGAGCCCGTAACACGTCGACCATGGTGCTTTCACATCCCGCCCGCTAGCTCCCGAAGCTGCGCCCTCTGTGCGTCTGGGTCTCACGTTGGCTTTGTTTCTCCAGGCTGTTTTCCTACCTGGCAGCACGTCTTACAAGGTTTGCTGAAAGCTGGACATGATGCACCAAGTAACCTGGGCAGGGGCTGGAAGTGCCTGAGGACCTCCGGTGTCCTCGGCTCCATCTTCCCCGCTGACTCGGGCTTCTTGAGTGTGGCTCCTCGGGGAGTCTATGCCCCGAAGCTCTTCCATCTGGAACTTGCCACTGTGGCCCTGGAAACCCGCCAGTGTGCGGCTAAGGTGTGGGGCCGTCATTCACTCCCAAGTTTTCAATGGACCTGTCACCTTCACTAATGGGGGACTGAGTGGGAGAAATGCCCTCCCCAGGTGGGACAAAGCCAGACAGGCTTTTCACTGTCTACAGGAAGACTCTGCTACGTAGGGGACACTCCTCCCTGTCCCCTTCCTGCCTTGTGGGGGCGGGGGTGGTGGCTCTGGAGCCCCCAAGATGGCAGCACCCGGGTCCCAGACTCAGACAGTCCACACTCGTCCTCCAGAATTGGTCAGAATGACTTAATGAGTCCTTCCAGTTGATGGCTCCAGCTCAGATCTCAAGCCTGTCTCTCAGCTTTCGGGTGACAGGGGTTGATTTTTCTCAGCTCAACTCCTTTCTGCTGTAGGGCCAGGTGTGCCAACTTCCCAGGCCGACAGTGGACGGGGCCCACTGTGCTACCCCCTTCTGGCTAGATGCGGGGATGGTGCCGTGGCCCCGGGGGTTGGAACCACAAGCGAGGAGAAACCCAAGTCCCCAGGGACCCCAAAGAGAGCACCCCGCAGGCAGGAGGAAGTTCAGAGCTGTTTTCTGAACCCCTGTGATGTCAGGGCCCATTTGTTACTGCACATTAGCTTACTGTGGCTCACAGCCTGCACAACCCTGACAGCAAAACCCCACATCCCACTTTCTGCTTCTGGAGGAGTTTTGCTGGAGAAAGTCACACAGCAATTTACAATCATCCTTCTAGAAATGGCGTCTCCAGCCTCTACTAGGGCTTCAGCCACATGGGTCAATCTCTCTACTTGCTTTGTAACGGCTTGTTTTCCCAGGCTTCTCTACTCCATATTCCCCAGGTTTCTCTCCAGGCCAGAGGGCTCTCCCCTGACTTTCCTCTGACAGACCAGCACGTTTCCTACCTCGTCCAGAACACGGAGCCGAGTGGTGTGCCATGACTAGCCATGTCTGATCACATCTGTACTGACCAGACCTTGTCCTGCTCTCTTTCTCCTGTCCCCTGAAATGGGATGCCCCTCACCCAGTTCAAGAACACCCTCCTCTCTGCTGAAGACCCTCCTGTGTCCTTTGGGACCTTATTCTACTTTGTCTCTCTGGAATCTTCCCTCTCTTCCTTGCTACTCGCATCGCCCAGAAACACGGCCACGTTGTTCGTGTCCTGTCAACACTGCCCAGCCTGAGAACACTCATCGCCTCATCCCCCTCCCTCCCTGCTCGTCCTGGAGCTCACCAGAGCCCTGCACATGGTCAGAGCCACATGTGTGCTCTAGTCGGCTGCACTGGACAATGGTGATCGTTCCCTCCGGCTGCAAACTCTTCTCTTTGATTCAGCTCATGCCTTTGCCCGTTTCTGTGGGTTCTGTTCCTCTGACCATACTCGTTCTTGTGGGAGCACAGGGGTCCTCCTTGGCCCAAGCCTACTCAGACCGTTTCCATGAGAACAGTATCTGTCCCACAATCTCAACTCACAGTCAACTCTCTACCCTAACCAGGAGGTACAGAATCCTACCTAACCGCACCTAGAATTCTCTACCTGCAGGTATCAAAAGCTCCTCAAATCGCCAACATCTGGGAAGTTTTAGAGTAGTAGGTATCATCTTTAGAGAATGTAGGCTGAGAGGTGCAAAGCATAACTTTATTTTCCTAAAATAAATCCTGAAATATTCAATCTAATAGAATCTGGTCACAACCTAAAATCGTAATTAATATTTCAGATTTAAATTAAATTGCATTCTGGCCTTTACCACTCTGTTTCCCCACCCCCACTAGACCCAGGATGGGGTGGGAGGGCCTGGTGGCACCTGAGGATGAGGAGGCTCCCTCCTCTGCCCACTATCGGCATGGTATCGGCTCTGGGTGCTGAAGTCCCAGGGTCGGCGGTCAGCACCATGGCAGACATTTTCCTGGTCCTCCCATCTGCCCCTGCGGGTGGCACGGGAACTTCTGAGACCGCCCTGCGGGACTTGAAGCCTGCAGCACCTGTGGCAGGGGCTCAGCTGGGGAGGACCTGGGGCCGTGGCGTCCTCTGCCCCCACAGCTGTGCTACTGGGGCTTCTGCTCCAAGAGGCACGAACTCCACACCCACATCTCTCTTCCTTGCTCCTCCTACTCTTCTCCTTTACCCTCCGGAGCAGGCTGTGACAGGACGTCTACAGAGGGGTGGTCTGGCTTTCCTACTGCTCACACACATTCCACCTCGGCTTCTCTAAGACTTGCCTTCTCAAATCTCAACAGCACACAGCTCTTCCAAATCAAGTCTCAGTTGTTAAGACCATCAAATTTGTTTTAATCTATTTAAAAACTCAAAAGCTGAGCACCAAGCTACGTATTTTTTCTTTCCATTAATATTTTAAAATTTCTAGTTTCTTGCACCTCTGACTGAATTTTTGAGCATTTATGAAGTGTGTAAATAAAACACCACAGCATCCTCACCTCAACGTCATGCTGCCGAAACGACACCGAGCTGTCTGAAATGGGGCTCGCCAGACCTCATCTGCCGCCTGTCCTGCCTTCTGAACTGGTCTCCCACAGCGCTCAGAACGATCTACCACACACATCTCCCTGCCCTGAGCTCATTCTACTCTGGCTCTGGGATGCAGGTCATGCACTTCACAGCGGAACGGAAGGCCCCGTGTGATCGAGGCCTTCACTGTTTCTTCAAGGACAGTTCTTGTCGCTCCCTTCCATAACCACACACAACAAAAGTGCCAAATCACTCCTGGTCCGGGACCTATGCACCCAGGGTCTCTGCTCGTCCCTGACCGGGAGCACCCTGAAGCCCCCTCCTCGAGTCTGACCCCCTCCAGGCCATACCTCCCAGGTTTGTTAGGGTCAGTGTTCACTGCTCCCCAGACACCTGAGGACTAGTAAGACTATAAAGGACAAGTCCGTTTTAAAATGGTCTGTTAATATGTCTCCCACTGAGCAGATGATGAGCTCCTCCAGGGACAGATGTTTAGGTCCCCATGTTTTTCCTGTGCCTTAAAAAGCCCCTGCACAAAACCAGTGTTCACGAATGGATGAAGGAGCAAGTTACCAGCATTCCAGGTAATTCTGAGGAAAGCAGTGAAGCACGAAACAGAAAACAGAGAATTTATACTCCATTTCTTATTATGAAACATATATGGTGAATTGATATCAAAAGATTTTAAACAGGGGTGCCCAGGTGGCTCAGTCAGTTAAGCATCTGACTCTTGATTTCAGCTCAGCTTGTGATCTCAGGGTCGGGAGATGGAGCCCCTCGTTGGGCTCTGCGCTTGGGATTCTCTCTCCTCTGCCCCGCACCCATAAAAAGAAAAAAAAGGTTACAAACAGAAACAACTTCATGTTAATTAGTAAGAGCGGCAAATAGCTCAATCTGTATCCAACCACCAAACTAACAGAGAACTTCAGATTGGACAATAAGCAGGAGCAGGCTGCGCCAGTAAGAGGCTCCCACCGCCCTAGGGTGACAGAAGGATGGATGAAAACCTACCAGTTTACTTTGAAAAGTTAGCATCGAAGCACTAACAAAATAAGAAACTGAACATTTTTATACTTCTTGAACTACTTACATTGATTTTAAGGGGAGAAAACATTAGAGTACTCTTCATTTATTCTTCAAACTTGCACATGGGGCGCCTGGGTGGCTCAGTTGGTTAAGCGACTGCCTTCGGCTCGGGTCATGGTCCTGGAGTCCCGGGATCGAGTCCCACATCGGGCTCCCTGCTCAGCGGGGAGTCTGCTTCTCCCTCTGACCCTCCCCCCTCTCATGTGCTCTCTCTCTTTCTTTCTCTCAAATAAATAAATAAAATCTTTAAAAAAAAAAAACTTGCACATTAACTATCTCTTCTAAGCAATGTGAATCTTACTTTCAAAAACAGACCCAGGTCCTGAGCACCCTCCTTTTCTCTTCAGTGCACTAATTCAGCATTAAAACAAAAACGGAACACCCAGCTACAACCCAGCATGTTACATACACATCCTTAAAATGACTTAAAATGTGTATTAAATGAAATTGTGCCATCACATGGATACTTTATTTTTTTTTAAGATTTTATTTATTTGAGAGAGAGAGAGAATGAGAGATAGAAAGCATGAGAGGGAAGAGGGTCAGAGGGAGAAGCAGACTCCCCGCTGAGCAGGGAGCCCGATGTGGGACTCGATCCCGGGACTACAGGATCATGACCTGAGCCAAAGGTAGTCGCTTAACCAACTGAGCCACCCAGGTGCCCTCACATGGATACTTTAAAATGTCCAAGAACCCATTTATTTATTTACTGGTGTTACTGAGCAACCACAAATATCTTTAGAAGTGTTATGATTCTTGATGCAGAAAGCCAAGGTTTGAGAATAGATCTTGAAGAAGACTGATGACTAATTAAAGAATGTGAGGAAACTTCTCAATCTGATTTTCTTCTAGAATGTAGCACACAGGGATGCCTGGGTGGCTCAGTCGGTTAAGCGTCTGCTTTCAGCCCAGGTCATGATCCCTGGGTCCTGGGATCAAGTGTTGCATCGGGCTCCTTGCTCAGTGGGGAGCCTGCTTCTTCCTCTGCCTGCCACTCTCCCTGCTTGTGATCCCTCTGCCTCACAAATAAAAAATCTTAAAAAAAAAAAAAAAAAGAATCTAGCAT